TTAATATTTATATTATAATAGTATTATGTTACGATTCCGTTTACTTTATCTAAGAATGATTAAAATTTAAAAGCTTTAGACTACTTACTGTCATCGTAGAGTAGATTAAAGTACGAAACAGTAAATCACAGCAAAACAGATCTACGACCTTTTGGAAGGCTAATGACAATTTAATAATTACATCGATTAAGCTAACATTATTTTTACCATCTTAGTGGCAATAAGGAAAATTGTATTGCGAAAAATAGATTATTGTCATGAATCAGTATGAATTAAAAAAAAAAATTTCTTACAAATAAATACAGTGAGAAATTAAATAGATTTTAACGAAGGTGTAACGTACGATAGTATAGGTGTACGATTGTATATTTTTTCATTCATTTTTTTAATTTGCAAACAAAGTACTCTTGAAAAGCACCATGTAAAAAAAAATTAATGCAAGAAAGCACGTGCTGCTGCAGTTATCCCTAAAAAATTGTTTGTCACTGTTAAACACAGGTAATTTCGTTCACTAGATACTTTAATGACTAATTGAGCACAGGGAACTTCATTTGCTAGACATCTTAATGACTAATTAGGTATCCTTGGAAAATCAGTGAAAAAAGCCGTCTAACTCAGTGCTTGGAAAATCGCGACGAATTCAATTAAAAGTATACGTGCACTTACGTTGAAATTACTATTATTCAAGACTTGAGCATTTAAACTGGTATTTAAATTGGTATGAATAAGCAATTCGTAGATGTTACACATTAACACATCAAACTAATAATTCTCACTAATGTATACTTATTCAAACACTTTTGTATACTTTTTTTTCCGTACTGTATAGAAGGAAAATAAAGACTAGCAGTCATATCACTAAGAAAATTACTTTTATACCTACGAAATGTATACCACATCTGATCACGAAGAAAAATTTTGTGAAATTGAATAAATTTTCGTGATGATTATACTTCGACATTGTTTAACCTAAATGAATGTATATTTTCATTAAATAATACGATACTATTTAACTGTTGTGAATTAATAGAGTAAGTGTTTTATTTAAGTAAATATTTTTTTTTATATTAATTTTATATTTGTTAGTAAAATTCTTATTTTTTCTCAACTGCGTTTATGCGATTGAAAATAACTTGTGTTTCTGTAACTATTTGACATTTAACTGACTTATTTTACTTTTCAACTTGTAAAGGGTATATTAAGTCATGCTTTAGT